ATTCTAATTTAAATGGTACCATCTAAATTGCAAAAAGGAGGACACTTTTTTAAAGAAAAAATCTTCAAAAGAAAACAGGATGAATAATAGATTCACAAAGAAATGGTAAATTTTGCCAAAGTTGGGGGTCACAGATGCCATTTAAACCAAACAATTATGCTGCATAGTATTTAATAATCTCTTTCACCCCCACTTTTAATTACTTTATCAATTTCGTCCCTAGAAGTTTTCTCTCTGTTCTGTGCTGTAGCTCAGCTCTCCTAAAAAGCATTCAACTGGAAGTGCTCCACTCTCCTATTTTTCTATTTCTCCATCTGCCCACTTAGAGATCCCAAGGCATTTCCATTTTGCCCAACAAAGATACCAGCTTTACCAACAGCCTGAATGTGAATTTCCCTTCTTTTCTTGTTTAATCTCAATTCGAAATCCATAGTGTTCATCGCCTTCTTTAGATTCTCTGAGCTTTTGTTTTCTGTGAAAAACAAGAACCCTGATCTGTGAACTCCATCTCCAACATAATTTAGACCCTATCGCTAACATATTACATCTTTTGGCTCTATTCTGCTCGTTCCTTTCTGGTGAAAAAGATTTAAAATTTTTTTTATCTTTCTTCTGGGTTATTATCAGCCTCCAAGAGTTTAACGTGCTAACATTGTTTGAGTTTTAGCTTCTGCTTTGTTCTCTCTGTGTTGAGTATTTGGAGGATTTTATTTGGCTTACTGGCTGTTGATTTTCAGCATTTATAGTAGCGTTTGGTCCTTGTTAGGTGATTTTGACATCTGGGTACTTTTGGTTCTGTGGGATTTGGGTTTGGTTGTGGTGGGTTTTCTGTGATCTTTGTTGATTTGGGTTTGAAGTGTCCAGTCAAGCTGGTTTCTTCTTCAGTTTTGGGACTGTTAGATGCTCTTGGTGATAGATTTTCGTCCTCAAGTTTGAGTTTAAGATGCAGCCTGATCAGCGAAGAAAGGTGAACTTTGCTAATTTTATTTATTGAGTTGTATGGATGTACAAGTTTTTTGGATGACTCTAGAAGAATTAAATTTGTTTCTAAATTCGGTGTAATTTGTGTTCACTGAAATCCATTTTCTGGCTTGCTCAGAATGTTATTCACTCATTCTTTCACTTATGTTATCCAATTCTACTGGACACTTTGTTGGTATTATTTCTGTATATCCAACGGGAAGGAACAGTTTGTCATACTCATTTCTTGGCTTCTCTGCCACATGCTTCGGTCCCCATATGCAATTTGGGGAGGTCCCACTACAGGCACAAAGTCTGTCTTGTAAAAGTTTTAGCTGGATGTGTATCCACCTATATTGCGGATTTACTGTAGATAAGGGGCTGTGAACTGACATTGTTTCTGATTTTTTTTGAGATATCAGATGTGTGGGTTCAGGACTGTAGGAAATATGTATAATTTCCTTTATCTGTTTATTTGCTTTTCATTTTGCTGAATTCTGCAAGTTCACATGGGACTAGGATCAAAGTTTTATTGCAAAGCAATAATTTTGTGTAATTCATGCTAGAGAACAACTGCCACTTCTTCCTAGTGATTTGTGGCGTATTATTTGTTTCGCTGTAACTTCTAAAGTTTTATGCTTAATGTATCAATTTTACTGCCTGAAAAGAATTTACATTTGATTTTCCTTTTGCATGTGGTGCGTTGAAGAATTATGATTGCAGCTGACTGTAATTATGTTAGCTATTGGTGATTAATTTAATTGTTTTAGGCCCAAGATATTACATGATCTCAATTTACTTCTAGCACTGGGAATGTGCAGAAAGGATCAAATTTAAATAAACAAGCATGTTAATTGGTGTTTTCAGCTTCTGTAGTGGAACTTTACTGAATATCAGTGAACCCTTTTTCCTCCTTTTTAGTTTTGTTCGATACCTACTCTTTGCAACATGTGGTTAACAAGCATGCCTATGCTGATAATTTACTTTGCTTAAATGCAGCCATCTGTAGATGTAGACTTTTTCACAGAGTATGGTGAGGGGAGCAGGTACAGAATAGAGGAAGTAATTGGCAAAGGAAGCTATGGTGTTGTTTGCTCTGCATATGACACGCATACTGGAGAAAAGGTTGCAATTAAGAAAATCAATGATATCTTTGAACATGTATCTGATGCTACACGTATACTACGTGAGATCAAACTTCTTAGACTTTTGCGACATCCAGATATTGTTGAGATCAAACACATTTTGCTGCCTCCATCCAGAAGGGAATTCAAAGACATATACGTGGTTTTTGAACTTATGGAATCCGATTTACATCAGGTTATTAAGGCAAATGATGATTTAACTCGAGAACATTATCAATTTTTTCTTTATCAGCTTCTTCGAGGCCTGAAATACATACATACAGGTTATTCTCTTAACCATATAACATGTTTTGCCAACTTGTTAGCTAATTGAAAATTTTTTAAACAGAGCATATGGATCCTGAAAATTTAATTTCTTATGAATTTGCATTTCTGACACTTTCTCTTTTACATTCTTCTAGCAAATGTCTTCCACCGAGATCTAAAACCGAAAAATATCTTAGCAAATGCTGATTGCAAACTCAAGATCTGTGACTTTGGTCTTGCAAGAGTAGCTTTTAGTGATACACCCACTGCCATTTTCTGGACAGTAAGTGCAACTGCACAATTTGCCATGTATGAAATCATTTGTGTATTGGACTTATATTGTATTTGGTCTTTCTTTTTCTTTTTCTTTTTTTTCCTTTTAAAGATATAGTATATTGGTCATTAGCTCTAAATTGAATATTTTCGTTCTTGGTTCACAGGACTATGTTGCAACAAGATGGTACCGGGCACCTGAATTATGTGGATCTTTTTTCTCAAAGGTGCATGGATAGTGATGTTTTCAGGTTTTTTTGCTTGATTTTTCATCTATTAACATCATTCTTGTTCTGGTTGTATGATATTTCTTGATATTTTTTGGTCTTAAATTTTACTTTTAGATTTAGTGATTGTTCTCTTTTCTCTCCCTACACTCTCAAATTGGGATGACTCAGAAAGCTCATTAAGTTTCCTTTTTATATCTTTCTAGGCCCTTTTTACGTTTAGATAGTCTCTTTCATATGTATTGTCCAAATTTGATATGTATGCTAGTCTCTTTCATATCTATGCTTGCCACCTAGAGGCATAGTCCTCTGACGCTTGATTGTTTTTAGTTCATCAAATGGTTTTTTGATGAAAATAGAGCATAATAGAGGGAGATTATGGCAAGCTGTGATTGATTATTGCCTATTTTCTGTTAATAGGAGAGAAAAAGGGTGTAATAGCTAAAACATTAGAAGGAATAATATTAATAACTAATGCAGCATTAGTCCTTTCCTATTAAGAAAAACTCAGCAATACCCACTAAATTCAAAACCTTAAGTCTGGGGTCCAGGTCGCACTGACTAAGAAGAAGAGGAAGAAGAAGAAGAAAAGGCATTGATTGATTCTTTACAATTTGTACCATAACACATTTCAAGTTTTAACAACCTATTGGATTTCTTGTTTTCAGTATACTACAGCAATAGATACATGGAGCATTGGGTGCATCTTTGCAGAACTTTTAACTGGGAAGCCTCTTTTCCCTGGGAAAAATGTTGTTCATCAATTGGATCTGATGACTGATCTACTGGGAACGCCATCTATTGAAGCCATTGCCAGGGTCTGTTTGCTTTGATGAACTTGCCTTCATAAGAATACATTTATGGTTGCTCTAGTTCAAGGGCTCATCAAATTAGTTGATTTTTGCACTAATGTATTGATGTTATGTGAATAGGTAAGAAATGAAAAAGCTCGGAGATACTTAAGCAGCATGCGAAAGAAAAGGCCCATTCCTTTCTCCCAGAAGTTCCCCAATGCAGATCCTCTTGCACTGCGTTTGTTAGAAAGAATGTTGGCATTCGAACCAAAGGATCGACCTAGTGCTGAAGAGGTGAATATCTCTCTTGAATCTTTTCATCTTCCAATTATAATGCATACTCTTCTTCTGGCAGAGTAATAATATCTCTTGCATTTTGTCAGGCTCTGGCTGATCCATATTTTAAGGGCTTGGCCAAGGTTGAAAGAGAGCCTTCGGCCCAACCAGTTACAAAGATGGAGTTTGAATTTGAGAGACGGAGGATAACCAAGGAAGATGTGCGGGAGCTGATATACCGTGAGATACTTGAGTACCATCCTAAAATGTTGAAAGAGTACTTAGATGGTTCAGAGCCAACAGGCTTCATGTATCCAAGGTATTTACCTAAACTAGTAGTCTATTTCTACACTTTCAACCATATCACGTTGTTTCAAGCAATTATTTCATGTTTGGTTCCTCTTGAGATGTTTGCAAACTTTTACTGCTTAGTTGTTCAATATACCTTCAGTCTAGACTTAAATATTCTGGAACTTTATCCTTCAAGTCATATCTTAAAGTTGAGAAGATTCTGATTTTTGTAAAACATAATCCCATCTAATGTTATATTGATTTTGGTTGAATAGAACCATTAACCATGGTGGTATACTTGAATAATTCAGAATCTTAAATGGTGGTTGCTTGGCCTACACTCTTCTCAATGAAGCCACAAGTTTATCTCGGCGATTAAACCAATACCCTTTTTAATCTTTAAAAAAATCTCTCATCTTCCCCTGGGCCAGGAACCCAAAAAGCACAAGGGTCTTAGAAAATAAAGCTCAGAAGATTAACTCTTTTACCTTTCAAATATTTGGCACTCGTATTCTTAGGCTGTGAAACACTTTATTTTGACTTTTTCTGTCACTATGGCTTTGTTTTTGAAAATCTTAATTGATTTAAAACATAAGTGGATGTTGTGTATTGTAGTCCCAAAGACATGGTATCATGCAGGTGAACTCATCATCAGATTTCTCTATCTGACTGGTAAAGATAATGTTTGATTAAAGGCTTCCTTTTTACTCATCATCAGATTTTTCTCTGTAGTGCTGTTGACCATTTCAAGAAGCAGTTTGCTTACCTTGAGGAGCACTATGGAAATGGCACTACTGCCACACCGCCTGAGAGACAGCATGCATCATTACCCAGGTACTCCATTTTGGCATGCCAGATGCAGCTACCAATTGATTGTCACATTCCATGTACTCTGATTAATGATTATACATGCTTCTGTCATAATATCATCTTGCCTACGTTTTGCATTGTCCTGTGCTCTTATGAAAATGTGTTCTTGCAGGCCATGTGTGCTATACTCTGAGAATAAGGTTCAAAATTCAGTAGATGTGACAAATGATCTTTCTAAATGTTGCATTAAGGAGGCTGAGAAACCCCAGGTGGACAGGAATGCAGGGATCCCTATGACAAGGCTACCTCTTCAAGTTCCTCAAAGCATCCAAGGTATGATTTGTGTTAAAGCTTTCTTTGAGTGATGCAGTGTCACGACATTGCTGATTACATTGTTGTCTCTACTTGCTGCTTGATTATTGTATGTTAACATCATTTACCTTTAAACATTGTTAATACAGCATCTGCTGCCCGACCAGGGAAAGTAGTTGGTTCAACATTGCGTTACAACAATTGTGGGGCAGCAGCAGCAGCTGAGGCTCTTGAACAGCGAAGAATGGTTCGCAACCCAGCAGGGTCCACCCAATATACTGCAACAAATGGTTCATATCCAAGAAGAAACTCTATCTGTAAAAATGATAGGGGAGAAGAAGAAGTAGTTGAAGGTTCCAATGGTTTGCAGCCAAAGCCCCAGTACATGGCAAGGAAAGTTGCTGCTGCTCAAAGTGGATCCGGAAGCCACTGGTATTAATCTAATATTGGTTTTTATTTGGTGCCATATTCTACAGTCTTTCTCTGGACTTAACAGGTCAAAGAAAGAACCCAGCTTACTGCAGCAAGCAGTTCATATCCGTTCATCTGCCCACAATTAGAATCATCCGATATGAGTGATATGCAATGCTGTCTTGCAGATGGACATGGACTAATGAACAAAGTACCAAGTTTAGCTGCACGTTGCAATTTATATCACTAATTTGATAGTTTAAATGGTGCTTACTATGCTTCAACTCATCAGTGGGCAAGAGATTGTAACAGGCATGAAAATGAGGAAACTGCATTGCGTTCGTTAACTTATGAAGTTCATCTCCTTTTGCTTCTCATTCTCTCCTAAGTTACAGTACCCACTTTCTTCCCATGATGGGTTGTATTGATTCTGTTCTTTTGGAGTTCTAATAAGGATGGCTATTTGTTTATCCCGTCAATGGAACCGGTATTTTTACTTGGGAAATATTCGGTAATAGGGATTTTGAATTAAGAATTTGTTAAGAACTTGTTAAGAACTTATTCATGAAACATGTATTTATTATCTTCGGAATGTGTATTCATTCAAGAAAATTAATCCTAGAAAACTTTACCCCTATAACTTTGTCAGCAGAATTGATGTTTATTCCAAATTCCTCACCCATGAACGAGCACCTTATTATGCTGTGCTTTTACATTTTGGCATGACCTGGGCCAACTATTTGTACATGAAAAAATGATATATGCATACTTTCTCAGAGTGAAAAAGAGAATCTTACAATCACCCGAGGAGAAAAAAAAAGAAAGAAAGTGGGGAATCTTACCTTTTAAAAAGACTGAACATTGTTTGCGTCGGTGCCCTGTTTACTGCAAAGTTGAATGGGAAAAAATCTTCTAGAATTAGGAATAGTATTAGGAAAAGTTCGACCCAGCTCTGCTGTTCAAATTATATAATACTTTCTTAAATGATTTTTCTACAGGACATACTCATCAATCCCACCAGATTGAAATGAATTATCTGTACAAAATGAAACTTAAATTTCACTTAAATTAACAAACTGTTGGTACAATGCAAAAATGTCTAAAGCTAACAAGCTTGTTTTTTTATTGTTTATCCCTGGTCATATAGATGAGCTATCTATTATTTCTAAATCATTGTAACCTTGGCTTCACTCGCCTCCCGTTTGCATCACTGCCATCTAATGGGGCTTCATTTCGATTTCGATGATATCTCCAATCAATGATAGAATGCTCCCCAAATTTTGCCACATAATGCAGCAGTTCGGTAAGGACAGAAGGGCAACTTTCTTTGAGGTATTCAAAACCATCCGTTTGCATCACAGCTGAAAACAGTTCAAAAGCACTTGTCATTACTCATTATCTCAACATGAATCCAGCAAAACTGAGAAAAAGAGAGAACAGCAGTGAAAATTTGAATGGAGAAAGGGGGAACTGACAGACTGATGCACTACCGCACAATCACTAGAGAGAGAGATGGCTGTATGGCACATGCCAGTGCAATTCAAAACCATAAAATGTGACACCATAATGATTTGAGAAAGTCTATGATCATATCGATGAATGCAAAATGGAGTTGACAATAAAACACTCTTACCTTTTAAGTTTTCTGGCAATGCAATGAATTTGAGACATATTGCTTTTAGATGAGAACAGTGATGCTGCTCTGCCAAGGCTAATGTAGTTGCTGCTGTGTTTATGGCAACACCCTCACAAAGTTTAGCCTCACAGAGTAATCTGAGCCTCTCAAGTGCATAACAGTCGGCTGCTGCAAGCAGATGCTGAGCCATAAGGGTTGAAGCCCATTTTGAGTTTGAACCCACAAGCTCTTCCATGTCCGGAAGGGCATCCCAGTAAATGAAGTGGAGCAATGCCTGCAAACATCCAAGTTAAAGAAATTATTTTCACAAAAATTTACCAAGTTGCCTCGTTATAATCATGAAAAACTGAAAACTTTACAAAAACTCTGCAAGTTTATGAGTAAAATAATTTAATGAACAGATTCTGAGAAATATGTTGATGTTCAAAATCAAAACTCAAGAAAGTCCAAATATTAATGCATGAAGAGCCAGATAAAGGTTCAGATTAGGAATCTATTCATGTAAGCCAGCTAATCAAATCAGCTGTTACTCTTCCAAGCCCATTTTCACCAAAGTACATGAAGCCATCTGTATTGAATTTCACTTCACAACTACTGAAAATCCCTTTCATTCTCTGCTATCTGCAATCATGCACACTAGGCAAATTTAAGCATTTAAACAAACAGAAATTTTTTATTAAAACTCAGTTGAGAAAAACCTGAGTCATTTAAGAATATTCAATGCCACTGTTTGCAAGATAAACCTGCTCTGGGTTCACTTAGTCAAAGGCAGTGTTCTCACTGTATCGACATAGCTCAAGCACTGCTAGAGTCATGCCTGAAAATTAGATAAATTGCTTTTCAAACAACAAGATCAT